GGTTTTGACTTTCATTTTTGTGATGTGCAATGTACATCATCCTATTTTGATTGTTTAAAATCATGTCATAATACTTAAACAGTTATTTCTGCTAAGAAACTAAGACTATGATAACACAGACTTGAGATAAAATATTGTAGGTAGTATTGATCTAATATTTAAATAGTCTTGACCAAGCTGAAGTTGAGAAATAAACAACCAAGTCACCTAGCCTGTTTTATTGAGTATAATTCATTTCTGTTTCTAGTATCATTTAAGTGGGGGTAGTGACACAGAACATTCTCTCCTACTTCCCGGCTCACACAAGTAGCCAATCTCGCCTTGAGTGTTTGGCCCTGGTTCTAAAGGGTATTTAAGCCTCCCCTGGTGTAAAGAGCTGTATCTAAGCACCAGGAATAATGCCCTGAGGATGTGCCTCTACCAGTGAACCTTGGCTTTGCCTCACTCCCTAAGTCAGTAAGGGTAGACACCACCACTGTCAGTTTGTGGAATCTGTGGGTGTTACCTTACCTAATGAGAGATTAAGATGATGGAGGCAACACTAAATAAACCATGAAGTTCTCTGGTTGCAAAATGAAGGGTTGGCCTTGGTTACGTCTTAAGTCCTTCCAGCTGAAGTTAATGGGTGCCCCTCCTCTTGTCAGTGGCTCTGGGCCTCAGCTTTCATAGCTTATGGCTCTACCTTTTTCTTTGCAGATGGAAAGGAAGGTATTGATGAAATATTTTGCTGCTGTTGTCACAGCCGCACACAGGGGGAAGTCTCCACATGTTTCACGAGCTGCAGACTTCCTAGAAGTAAGTGCAGCAGAGTAATTAACCTGGTATCATATCTGTTTCTATTGTTTCCGTAACCGCCCGAGGGATTCTTCCTGCCCTCTGCATAAAGAAAGACCACAGCATTGTAGTAGAAAAAGAGTTTAATAGATTGGAACTCTTGGAGGCATGTTTCCCATTTTATTCTCCAGCACAGCTTTCGGCATAGAATTGATAAAATATTTGTTAAATGAATGAAAAAACCAGGGGCAACGTGTTGGGGGCAGCAAAATCCAGTTCTCTACTAGGAAGTAGGCATATGATGGTGGCTTTATGGTTATGTGACAGTTGTCCAGAGAATACACACGTTTGTGGATTTGGTTCAAACAGACGATCAAATGTGGTCGTCACTTAGTGACCAACAAAGGTGTTGTGCAGCCCCTTTTTCTTCCATCATCCCCTCAGGGTCTTGTATAGCTTGAAGTAGGGCAATTTCTGAAGATCTTTGTATTTAATAATATAATCCCAGCATATCCCTTCAGTCAGAATTGTAATCTTCAAACGCTGCTCTCAGTATAGCATCCTAGTTTCAACTGTGGGAGCGAGTGGGGAGAGAGACAGGCTGCCAGGAAGAGTTGCTGTGTGGTCTCATTCCCGGCTGTGCATGCTCCCAAGGCTGAGCTGGGAGCCTGCAGGGAAGGTGACAGCAGCACTCACAGCTCCACTTTAACTGGCAGCTAATGAGACCGCAGGCTCCACCAATTCTGCCAGAAGCCACGGCCTGGGTGACTCTAATGCTCCCGTGTAAGAGCACTCTTGGAAGAATGGTCACATTCTCTTCTCTTGTCTCTGGCAGCATGTCTATTACCTAATGGAGCTGAGCCTCATGTGCACATGTAATGATGCAAGGGCTTGATGGAACTCTAGAGGCGAGCTTGTAGGTCAGTGCGATTTTCTCCATGACAAACACTTGCTTATGCAGCTGGTGTTAAGGCTGTGTCTACTTTGGAAATGTCCAGGGCTTGGCTCCGGGCATTGAGCACAGTTGGTGTCCTGTTGGAGCCCCAGCTGCCAGTGCATGCTGTGCTGCTAGTCATAGCCCCAGAACACCCCAAGGTTTCTGAATACTAAATATTGCAGTGCCAGGAGGGAGGAAATACACCAAACGTGGCAGGAACTGTGCTGCCTTCACAATAGTTTTACCAAGATTTTATAAAGGTGCATATTAGCCCAGTGAGATATGTATAAGCACAGCTATTACAGCTGTGTCTGTATAGGCAAAATTGCAAATAATCTTACTGATAAATAGGAGAATGGTAAAGTAAACTGAGACACAGGTGTAAGATGGAATAGTATGCAACAATAAAGAGGAATGAGGTAGATGAGTAGGTAATGCCATGGAAATCTATACATGATATAAAGTAGAAATGTGGGTACAGTGTAATGCCATTTATCACAAAATAAAATTTACAAATCAAAGCCAATATTTTCTAAGTGTAGATATATGTATGTAAATACATAGGAGTGGGTCTATAGAGAATGCACACCAAACCAGTAACTATAGAACTTCTCTAGATAAAAGCGGGACTGAGGAGAGGATGGTTCGGGGAACTTTAGTTGTGTTGCTTAAATTTTTTTTTTCAATGAGAATGTACATCTGTAGGCTCTGTCATGAATACTAAAAAAGCACTAATAAAATTTGACAAAGATTCTATGAGAATGCATGAAGTGTCCTTCCACCTTGTGTAATGATAGTTTGATTCACCTCCATGTGGGTCCAAAGTTTTGGGAGGTGATATTTTAGAAATTTAAATTTCAGAGTATTCAGGCAAGCCCTTATTGTTCAGAATATATATTTATATGCATTTGGAGCCTATAAAAGGCCATTTGTACTCAAAAGTTTTTAATACGAAATATGTAGCTAAAATGTGGTGATTTTCACCTATCAGAATGTAACGACTGAGAAGGTTGGAATGATTTAAGGAGAACAGGACATGTGTGAATATGCACGTCTATGCTGTTGGTGAGAGTGGAGGTTGGTACAAACTTTTTGAAACGCATTTATCATCTATCAAAATTGTATGACCTAACACTTCTACTACTAGGGATTTATCCTACACAAGTGCCCCAAAACACACATTTAAAAACATTCATCAAAGCGTTGTTTATAAGAGCAAAAGCCCAGAATTCTCCTAAATATTCATGAATTTGGCTCAGGTCTCAAAAAATTAGTAGCAGTAAAATGGGTAACTGGGGATGGATTTGAGGTAGTGTCATTTAGGTTTAGTGACTTTCTGCAATTGGATAGGGAAGAGGCAATGATGACCTGCCTAACTTGGGCAACAGGGTGGATGGTGAAGGCATTGACTGAGATAGAGACAGTATATGGCATTTGTAGAATGAGCTGGCTGGGGATATCTAGTCCTAGTGCTTGTGTATGGAGAATATAAATCAGCTGCAGGAGATAATGGGGATGAGAATGGGGGTGGTTGTCAAGCAGAACGGAATAAGGAGGAACAAGGATTTAAAAGGAGGTAAAATGGGCCGGGTGCAGTGGCTCATGCCTGTAATCCCAGCACTTTGGGAGACCAAGGCAGGAGGATGACTTGAGGTCAGGAGTTCGACACCAGCCTGGCCAACATGGCGAAACTCCTTCTCTACTAAAAACACAAAAATTAGCCACGCGTGATGGCAGGTGCCTGTAATCCCAGCTACTCAGGAGACTGAGGCAGGATAATTGCTTGAACCTGGGAGGTGGAGGTTGCAGTGAGCCGAGATTGCGCCACTGCACTCCAGCCTGGGCGACAGAATGAGACTCTGTCTCAAAAAAATAAAAATAATTAAAGGAGGTAAAATGGTGACTATAAAGAATGCTAAATTAAAAGAGTCAGCCAGACCTGCTTATTTTACAAACAAGAATCCCTGGCCGGGCGCAGTGGCTCACGCCTGTAATCCCAGCACTTTGGGAGGCCGAGGTGGGTAGATCACGAGGTCAGGAGATCAAGACCATCCTGGCTAACACGGTGAAACCCCGTCTCTACTAAAAAATACAAAAAATTAGCCGGGTTATGGTGGTGGCGCCTGTAGTGCCAGCTACTTGGGAGGCTGAGGCAGGAGAATGGAGTGAACCTGGGAAGGCAGAGCTTGCAGTGAGCTCAGATTGCGCCACTGCACTCCAGCCTGGGTGACAAGCAAGACTCCGTCTCAGGAAAAAAAAAAAAAAAAAAATCCAGAGACTTCAGAAATCATATAATTGATGTAATTAATGCTACAGAAAAAAAAAAAAAAGAAGTAGGATTTTAACTCAGTCTCATCCTATTGCAAAGCAATATTCAAAAAAAAAAAAAACACCTGCTATCATTGTGTGATTAGCAAGCAGAGATCTTATATGACGAAAAAAAAAAAAAAAACTTTTATGAAAAGTTAGATATGGCAAATATCAACATCTGACAACAAAAAAAAAAAAAACATATTCATCTGTAAATGGGAAGAATAGTAGATTACCTGTTTAAATAAAAAAAAAAAAAAGTATGGCCCAGGAGCCATATAAAAGTAATCTTATTTAATCCTCATCAAATTCTCTATGGTGGGTAACTTCTAACCCCATTCTACAGATGAAGAAACGGAAACCCAGAAAAAAAAAAAAAATCCATCCTAATGCTTTAGAATTGGTAAGTGACAGAGCTCACATAAAAAAAAAAAAAAAAAGACTTTTCAGGATATTTTTCCATGTGCCACACTGTGTCCCTCTGGGAAAAAAAAAAAAAACCTACCTGCCTTAGAGGGTGCTTTGAATTTTACCTCGAGAATTCACAGGACCCAGACATCTGATGATTCTGGTGTGGATGGTCCAGAGATTATATTTTGAGAACCAAAAAAAAAAAAAAATGAGAGTAATAAACTAGAGCAACCCTATAAAATGTAATAATAATAAAAAAAAAAAAAAAATATAAGATTTTTCTTGGAAGGAATAAGTTCATTTTAATTTTTAAAAAAAAAAAAAAAAAATTGAGTGTGTGTGTGTGTGTGTGTGTATAACTACATTTATGGTTTAAAAAAAAAAAAAAATCCTATTCAGCCACATCAGGCCTGGCCAGCTGTCTGGATAGGTTCTAAAAAAAAAAAAAAGGGTGGCTTTTTAAAGAACCACGTTGGTTACGGACTTGCTTCCTTCAAAAAAAAAAAAAATCAACAGTAAACGGCTTGGTGTATGCGGCTGGCTCCTGTTTTCCCTAAAAAAAAAAAAAATGATCATTACCTTCCCCATCTCCATATGGATGTGCTTAAAGGTAACACCCTGGGACATAAACTGGGCTGTCTATATGAACTGACAAACCATTAGGACTAAACGTTCTCCCTTAACCTCCTAGATCATTAAGGAGTATGAACGTGCTGTTGTATTCCGTCTGGGACGCATCCAAGCTGACAAAGCCAAGGGGCCAGGTATGAATGACGCTGTGGTTGCCTCTGACAAAAAAAAAAAAAAAATAATGCTACTGCTACCACCTTCAATATTTTTCCTGGTGGTGCCTATAAAAAAAAAAAAAAAAATTGCTGGAAGCTGGCTCTCTTGCCTTTTGGTACAACAGAAGAAAAAAAAAAAAAAAAGTAAGTTGGTGGGAATAACCACCAGTTTGAGAGTCTGGAAATCTGGAAAAAAAAAAAAAATGTCCCTCTGAGAGATTCAATGAATGTGAGCAAAGGGTGGCTCTGGTTACATTGGCTGAATGTCACTTATTACCAGGACCACCAGGAGAATGTGGGAAGAGTAAGAAAAAAAAAAAAAAACCAATGTAGACCATTAAGTTACTCAACGAGAGTATATTGAGAGCTGAAAAAAAAAAAAAACTCTTTGAAAAGGACTAAGTGAAAAGCAAAAGGTAATTTCCTCTCAAAAAAAAAAAAAAAATAGAAAGATAGAGCTGGAAACCATTGTACGATGCCTTTTGCCAAAAAAAAAAAAAAAAAAATAAAAGAACATGAGGCCCACATAAGTTTGATGAATTATCTAAGAAAAAAAAAAAAAAAAGAAATAAAGATGAGCTTTCAGGCCTTCTAACATCTAGAATAGTATAAAAAAAAAAAAAATCCTTTCTTTACCACCTTGAAAAAGAAAATATTCCAAATAGTCATGTTATAAAAGAAGGTGGTTTTATTTGTTTGTTGTTTCTTATTTTTGCCAGCAGTTGGGGTGAAAAAAAAAAAAAAACTAAAACTCCCTGAAGTAAGATATTGATTTAATGCTCATAACTTCAAAAAAAAAAAAAATAGTTGGACCATAGGAAATTGCTGACTTTGTTTTGACTCCCAAACAAAAAAAAAAAAAAAGATTAATTCTAATACTCTGGAAATGAGGGGCTACCAAAAGCACTGTAAAAAAAAAAAAAAGAAAAGCAATCGTTACTAGCTATATTTCTCTGATAACATTTGCTTTAAAAAAAAAAAAAAGCTTGTTTGAATAAATTGTTCTCTCTGCAACTGGGAGGTCTCTGGGAAAAAAAAAAAAAAAAGCATCGCGATGCTCTGTGTGCTTTGCCCTTGGCCATAAGCCATGGATCTGTTAATATATAAAAAAGTACGGGAAACTTCAAGAGGAGAAACTTGTGAAGGAGGCAAAAAAAAAAAAAATTTTTTTTTTTGAAACGGAGTCTTGCTCTCACTGCAACCTCTGCCTTCCAGGTTCAAAGATTTTCTCGCCTCAGCCTCCTGAGTAGCTGGGATTACAGGCACCCACTATCATGCCCGGCTAATTTTTGTATTTTTGTAGAGATGGGGTTTCACCATGTTGGCCTGACTGGTCTTGAACTCCTGATTTCAGTTGATCTGCCCAACTCGGCCTCTCAAAGTGCCAGGATTACCGGCATGAGCCACCACACCCAACAACCATTTCAAGCATAATCTTACTTGTCTAATTTCATAAAGGACCTAAGAAAAAGAAGGTAAAAACTACTTACAGATGTTCTCGTGAGTTTGGCAAAGCAAGAATCATTCAACTGAGTTATAACAGCCCAAGATTAACTTCTTCCTGGTTCTAAAAAAAAAAAAAAAGCTAAGATTATAAGTTAAAATAAATTTTGGATCCAAGAGAAGCAGAAAAAAAAAAAAAAAGAGGCCTCTAGAGAAAAATACGTCACTTTTAAATGAATTTTCCCTGAAAAAAAAAAAAAAAAATGTCTCAGGATAACAACTCTCGTCATACCTGTCTCTGGGGTAATGAGTTACCTCAGAATGTCATAAGGACAAGAGGGAAACAAGCCAAATTGCTAATGGAAAAAAAAAAAAAAAAAATAAATTGTAAATTATTCTTGAATAATAGCTGACACTTCATGAGCATAAAAAAAAAAAAAAGCGCTGTGGTTAGTACTTTATTTCATTATCATGTTGAATCAGGCTTAAAAAAAAAAAAAAGCTTATATCTAGTAGGTAACCAAAGTGTTAGGTGAGTTTTCCCTAGAAAAAAAAAAAAAACTAGGTAGTGGGGTTGGGACTTAACTCTGTCTAGTTCTCAGGTCCATGATTTTAACCACAGTGACCTGGCACCAAAAATGGCAGTAAGGTTTAGAGGCCAAAAGAAAAAAAAAAAAAAAACAGCGTATTTTGCGGACACTGCCACCCCTTTGCGTGGTGTTCGGCTAAAAAAAAAAAAAATGCTGTTTGTTTTGAAAACAAAACAATAGTGCAAAGCCTTCTTGATTAATGGAAATAGATTAGTGTCCCCATCTTGCCGACATGCCTTGTGGTTCTAATCTTTGTAAAAAAAAAAAAAAAGAACAACATGCACCAGGGTAATGTTAAGAGTTCCCAGGGTCTTCTAAAAAAAAAAAAAAAGCCCATCCTTCCCTGACCCAGCCCCAACTTAATGCCTCACAAATCAAAAAAAAAAAAAAATGTTTACAGCTGGAGAATGCTATTGTACATGAATCAGATCATGGCTAAAAAAAAAAAAAAAATTCTGGAATACATTGATTTAGAGGAATGTGAGACCCTGGGAAGATTTTAATTCAATAATCCTTCATTACTAAATTGACTGAGAATGTTGGCAGTCACTGATATTCAAAGTCAAAAGTCTATTACTTGAAACTGTCACATGAGTATCTTTATTATAAGGAAACTAAAAAAAAAAAAAAATTTTTGGTGGAGTATTTTAGAGCAAATACAAAATACCAGATCATGTAAAAAAAAAAAAAAACACTTTAGTCTGTGCATCTAGCTGATAAGGACTTTATTAACACCAAAAAAAAAAAAAAAGAATATTTGTGTCCTCGCAAAATTCATAGGTTGAACCTAATCACCAAAAAAAAAAAAAAAGGAGATGGGGCCCCTGGGAGGTAATTAGATCATAAGGGAGTCATCCTCACGAGTGGCCTTGTAAAGAAAGTCTAAGAGACCTGCCTTGTCCCTTTCAGGACACCACATGACCATCTATACACCGGGAAATGAGCCCTCACAAGGCACTGTATCTATATGCACCTTGAAAAAAAAAAAAAAGGCTCCAGAACTATATGAAATAAGCTTCTGTTGTTTCTAAGCCACCCAGTTTATGGTATTTTGTTGCAGAAGCCTGAACAGACTAAGACACATGCCATTATCACAAAAAAAAAAAAAAAATAGAACACCTTAATATCTTCTTCTTTTTTTTTTTTGAGACAGAATTAAAAAAAAAAAAAACAGGCTAGAGTGCAGTGGCACGATCTCAGCTCACTTCAACGTCTGCAAAAAAAAAAAAAACGAATCTCCTTCCTCAGCCTCCCGAGTAGCTGGGATTACAGGCACGAAAAAAAAAAAAAAGCTGATTTAAAAAAACTTTTTTTAAATTTTTAGTAGAGATGGGGTTTTGCCATGTTGGCCAGGCTAGTCTTGAACTCCTGACCTCAGATGATCCACCCGCCCTGGGAAAAAAAAAAAAAAGGATTACAGGCATGAGCCACCGTGCCCGGCCTTAACAAATCTTTTAATATGCATTCTGTGTTCAAATTTCCCACTTGTCCCAAAGGTGCTTTTCACAATTGGTCAGAAAAAAAAAAAAAATTAATGTCAAAGTAAACACTTGGGTAGAAGCAGATTGTTTTAAAAACAAAAACCAAAATTAAATGTCAAGGATCTTTAGCTTCTTACCAAAAGACTTTGCTTCCCAAAAAAAAAAAAAAACTTAGTTACTGACTTAGAGGATGAAGTCATTTTCCTCAGAGTTTCACGTGTTCATACTGAAGATCATCTGAGAAACATGTATCGCCCCATGTAAGTGATGCACCACAAAAAAAAAAAAAAACTTGTAGTTATTTGCAATAGAGCAACATTTTAAACTGATTTTTTTAAAAAAAAAAAAAAATCCTGGTTCTGCCATGCATAGATGTGTTTGTCAAAGTTGACCTCAAAAAAAAAAAAAAAAACATTCCTCCACAAGAGGTAGTACTGATTAAGGATATGTCGCTCGAAAAAAAAAAAAAATTTTCCCTATTGTACGGACAATTACAACTTTATAGTACACTTTTAAAAAAAAAAAAAAAAGGTGAGCTGAGTACCTCCAGAGACCTGCTTGAATTGCCCTTGGTGGTTCCTGAAACTACCAAGAATTTGTTTTGCCAAATGAGAATGAAGCCAAGAGCAAGGAGACTTAGAATTGGCCTGGTGTGAGAAAGCCTGACAGCAGAGAACTAGTCAGCAGGAAAGCTGAAAAAAAAAAAAAAAGAGCGGAAGCTTGAAAGAGACAGACAGACACTGTATAAAACAGCTGAAAAAAAAAAAAAAGAGGGCAGATGGATGGCAGTGGCTGTTTTTGATTCCACCCTCTCTAAAAAAAAAAAAAAAGAATTTTTCATAATATCCACATGAGTACCATTTGCTTTTGACTTTAAAAAAAAAAAAAAATTGGGTGCAATAGAGGGGCAGGCATAAGGACAGAGGAGAGGCTGTCAAAAAAAAAAAAAATTTGTATTTCACAGAAGTCTTTTTTTTTTTTTTTTTTTTTTTTTTGAAAAAAAAAAAAAACCTTGTCGGCATGCAGTGGTGCAATCTCGCCAGGCACTGCACTGGTAAAAAAAAAAAAAAGCAATCTCGGCTCATTGCAACCTCTCCCTCCCGGGTTCAAGCGATTAAAAAAAAAAAAAAGGATTATAGATGCCTGTGACCGCACCCAACTAAGTTTTGTATTTTTAGTGGAGACAGGGTTTCACCAACTTAGCCAGACGGGTCTCTCGAACTCCTGACCTCAGGTAATCCTCCCGCTTCGGCCTCCCAAAGTGCAGTGATAACAGGCCTGAACCACTGCACCCAGAAAAAAAAAAAAAATTAATTCTTGAAGTACTACAAGTAAATGACCAAAACAGTAACTCAGAAAAAAAAAAAAAAAACAGAGTTACTAATTATCATGTCACCCTCTCATAACCAAAGTGGTAAAAAAAAAAAAAAAAGAAATGCAGGACCTAGGATATGGGAGGGCAATGGTGATAAGAAGAAAAAAAAAAAAAATTTATAAATATATGTTAATTTTCTTCTGTCTGGTTCAGGAAACTCAAAAAAAAAAAAAAAATGATGTCTTCATGTCACTTAGGAACTGCAGCATACTTACTTTTGAAAAAAAAAAAAAAACAGATGTGGTGGCTCATGCCTGTAATCCCAGCACTTTGGGAGGCTGAGGCAGGAGGATTACTTAAGGTCAGGAGTTCAAGACCAGCCTGGCCAACATGGTGAAGCACCGACTCTACTAAAAACACAAAAATTAGCTGGGCATGGTGGCATGCACCTGTAATCCCAGAAAAAAAAAAAAAAGAGGCAGGAGAATCAGTTGAACCCGGGAGACGGAGGTTGCAGTGAGCAGAGATTGTGCCACTGCTCCAGTCTGGGTGACGAAGCCAGACTCCGTCTCAAAAAAAAAAAAAAAAAAAAAAATGCAGTCAGGAGAGGTTGGGATGCTTAAGTGACCTTTCATAGGGACAAAAAAAAAAAAAAAATGGACAGTTCTAGGTTCTGCTTCCATACTATACCCAGAAATCTCAAAAAAAAAAAAAACTGTCCAAAACATTCTGTCACATTATTCAGAATGATTGATGCTGAAAAAAAAAAAAAAAATGCATCGATATTTCTTTACATGGTCTCTGGTGCCATCTATGTTTTCAAAAAAAAAAAAAATCAAGTCTGATAAAAACTGAAAACCAAAGAGGACAGGTATCAGGGAAAAAAAAAAAAAAACTCTGCTTAGAAAATTGAAGATAATAGAATGACAGAAGGGCTGTACTGTTACATTTAAAATGGAAGGGCCTGTTCTTAGGATGTCAAGTCAAGGGTTTCTGCCTATAAAAAAAAAAAAAACTTAAAGATGAAGTCACAGGGGTAAGTATAATGACAGCTTTAGAGGAAAAAAAAAAAAAATGGGAAGATATTCTGTCCAAGCCAGAACAGGTTTTAGGTGACTATAGCATGAGTTGTCGTTACTGCTCTCCTTCTGTGGAGGATGGCTCTTGGGCTGGCTGTCACTAAAAAAAAAAAAAAGAAAGTCATAAATAAGTGATTTTGCCCTGTTCTTACTCGACAGATCCTCACCAGAGACTCCGTGACTACTCAGGTAGATGGAGTTGTCTATTACAGAGTCTATAGTAAAAAAAAAAAAAAGGCTAATGTCAACGATGTCCATCAAGCAACATTTCTGCTGGCTCAAAAAAAAAAAAAAAATGTCTTAGGGACACAGACCTTGTCCCAGATTTTAGCTGGACGAGAAGAGATCGCCCATAGCATCCAGGTAAAGATACCGTGAACTAATAGCCTGTATCTTTAACTCAAAAAAAAAAAAAATTAGTGATGATGAAGTATCAGCAGTTCAAAGCATCCCCACCACATGCATGCTTGCACACACTCACACACAGACAACTGCTCTAGAGGTGAGCTTCCGTTGTGATTTAAAAAAAAAAAAAACACAAGAAATATATTTAAATATCTGAGTGCAAGAAGGCAGTTGCTGAAATTGTGCCCCTTATCCATTTTCTTTGGAATTCAAAATTACGAATTAACATCTTACCAGAAAAAAAAAAAAAAGAAGTTAGAGATCAGATTTATTTTTAGCTTAGATTACTCCAGGAGTAAAAAAAAAAAAAAGGTAGCCTATATATTTAAATAGTGTGAAAGTTAAATTCAATTGAGACACCATAGACCTGTCATCTCTAGAAATTCTTACACCATACCATCAATATCACTAATAACAAAAAAAAAAAAAAAAATTATAATATCAATGAAGATGTAACAGCTATCGATCTCATCTCTTACACACATGAGTTTATGAACAAGAATACTTCTGTATTTTCTTGGATCAATTGGATTCTGAAAAAAAAAAAAAAAAGTTAATTATATAAAGACATTCAACTTTGGTTCTTCTTGGCCTCTCCTCTAGTCCCTGAGGTAGAGGAAAGATCCCAAGCTTTTATGAGGCCGTATGAGTTCTGCAAAAAAAAAAAAAAAACTGTTTATATGTGACCCATGAATTTAACAGCTCAAAGGTATCCCAAAAAAAAAAAAAAAACTGACTTCTTGTGAGGTGTCACTATCTCTCAGTGTCCTGCAGGGATCCCAGAAAGGCAAGGGAGGGATCTCTTGCTATTTGGTAGCAGAGATCTCTGCCCCTACCCCTTTAGGGGAGCTATCCTTCTGATCCTACCATTTCTCAAGACATTCATCTTCTCCAGGAAAAAAAAAAAAAAATCTTCAATGGTTTTAAGCTTTTACAAAGACAAGCGTATCTTTGCATAAAAAAAAAAAAAATCGAAAAATATGCCTTGCTTCTTCTTTAAAGCTGGCCATAGAGCAGAAGTTAAACAGCGTGAGATAAATAATATCTTGAAAAGGACCCAATAATAGTATGCACTGAGTCATTGTTAGGTACTGAGAGATACCTTATATGCATTGTCTCCAAATCTAATAACAGTCCAAAAAAAAAAAAAATTATAGGTAAGAAAACTGAGAGTCAGATAAGTTCAGAAACTGTCCCAAAAAAAAAAAAAAGCAAATGGCAGAGCCAAGGCAAAATCCAGGTCTGTCTAAGAAACCCAAAAAAAAAAAAAAGCTTGATACCAGCGACAAGCAAATTTGGGATATTTGCTCAAATCTAAAAAAAAAAAAAAAACCTCCTTGGGAATGGTTTTGGGGTAGATCCTGCTGATGGACACCCAAAAAAAAAAAAAACATGAGATTCACTTTAAATTCCAGAAAATGATCAATAAGGTTAACTAAAAAAAAAAAAAAAAATTGTCTCGCTCCAAATGCTGTAAATGCAACCAAAAAAAAAAAAAAAAAAAAAAAAAAAATGTATCTTGCAAGTATAAAACATAACAGAAACGTACATCATATCAAAAAAAAAAAAAATTAGTCTTTTCTTTTGATTTGGAAACAGACTTTACTTGATGATGCCAAAAAAAAAAAAAAGATCCGGGTGGCCCGAGTGGAAATCAAAGATGTTCGGATTCCTGTGAAAAAAAAAAAAAACATGGCAGCCGAGGCTGAGGCCACCCGGGAAGCCAGAGCCAAGGTGAGGGCTGTGCAGTTCACACATGGAGGGAGAACCGCCTAGCATTGGGGCCAACAAGGATAGAAAAAAAAAAAAAAATTGGGTGTCTCAATTATTTTCATAAGAAAGGGTTTCTTTTCCCAGAAAAAAAAAAAAAATTCCCTGAATTAAAAGGTAACCAGCAGCTTACTGCACCTTGAGGAAGTTTGGTAGCAGGTCTTGCATTAAGAGGACGCTCAGTAACATACTGAGCGACTTAGCCAAAAAAAAAAAAAAAACCAGCCGCATGTCAGTGTTCCCTGGGGGGAATTTAACAAAACAAAAAAAAAAAAAAAAAACCAAGCCTTATTCAAACCCAGGCGTGAAGCAGTCTCGAGTGGGTTAAAAAAAAAAAAAAATCATAAAGCTGGTGACTTAAATGTAGCCAACATGGAACCTGTCTTTAAAAAAAAAAAAAACTTCTATATTAAATGTTGCTGGAATAAAAGGGGGCAATTAAATACAAAAAAAAAAAAAAATACAAAACGGAAGTGTACCCTGGCTCTGAATGTCCTTGTATCTGTTAAAAAAAAAAAAAACAGGCCTGTGTGGATAGCTTTCCTGAAGTATCAGAAACCAACTGGGCTTTCAAGCCTGTGTGTATCCTCTTTGGAAACTTACCTGTTAGCTGATGAAGGCGTTTCTAAAAAAAAAAAAAAACTCATCTCTCGTTTTTCTGCTAAGCTCCAGCAGCTTCCAAGAAGGGACTCGGCAATGAGAGAAGAGAGATCACTTTTTCACATGGGCAGATGGCCACAGATAGGGCAGCTGAATCACTCTTGGACAGTCTGAGAGCTCCAAAGAGTGATGTACTTAAGAGATTGCAAAAAAAAAAAAAATGGCACTTATTGCAAGAGCCAAGAGAACTAGAAACAATTCTCAGTTAAAAAAAAAAAAAACAAAGTGGCAACAGAATGAACTTAAAAACATCTAAGATAAGTAAAAAAAAAAAAAAAAAAAGTTAGAGGCCTTAAATTTCAGACGTCTCTGAAAATGAACACAGCAAAAAAAAAAAAAAAAAAGTGCTTCAAGGCATTAGTAGGGTAGGTGCCAAGTATTCACTTGAAAAAAAAAAAAAACTTTTATTTTTGTTTGACAATAAAATCTAGGGACCTGTCATTTGTAAAATATAACTCCTTGCTTCCTGCAACCTCCTTGAATTTCTCTAATTACGTTAGGAAGTGAAACTCTTATCCTGGCCAAAGAAGTAGATGAAACACATGTGGCAACATGGGGACTGGGGAGAGGGGTATCAATACAGACTCAGAAAAAGAAAGCACTAGTTACAGTGTAAAGTTTTATTTCAAAAAAAAAAAAAACTGTCATTTCAGGTCCTTGCAGCTGAAGGAGAAATGAATGCTTCCAAAAAAAAAAAAAAAGCCTCCATGGTGCTGGCTGAGTCTCCCATAGCTCTCCAGCTGCGCTACCTGCAGACCTTGAGCACAGTAGCCACTGAGAAGAATTCTACAATTGTGTTTCCTCTGCAAAAAAAAAAAAAAGAGGGCATTGGTGGGGTCAGCTATGATAATCACAAGAAGGTTCCAAAAAAAAAAAAAAAACCTCTTGCTGTAGCCAGTTATTGCATAGAGAGTGGTGTCTATTCCTAAAAAAAAAAAAAAAGTTAGGAACGGAGAGAATTCCAACATTGTTCATGTAACAGTAACTAAAAAAAAAAAAAAGTATTGGCAGGAAAAAGCTCTAGAGGCTATATGGAGAAAAACAAAAAAAGGAAAAATGAGACCTGTATATTACTTTTATTTTTAGGACCATAATCAACTTTATAATAAAAAAAAAAAAAAAATTAGTGGTAGTCTCTGTCTTTATAGCAGGAACTTTCTGGTAATAAAAAAAAAAAAAAATGGGTGACTGTGACTAATGTTTGAGAATTACTTTTTAACTGTTGTAAAAAAAAAAAAAAATAATTTATAAAGTAACATAGGCCTCATATTTACACTGTATATTTGCAAAAAAAAAAAAAAGTAGTTATTTGCTAAATCTCCAATGGTTGCAATCAAACCCCACAATAAAAAAAAAAAAAAGATTTTAATGTTAAGAACAAAAGAAGTATGCAAACTTCTAGGCTCAGACATGTCCCCTGTGCCACAAGGCAAACTGCGTTCAGCCCACAGTCCAGGTCTCTTGCCGCATGTCCTGCAGGGAGTGGCCAACTCTCCACCTCCCAGCACCATTGTCAGAGGGTGGGACAAAAAAAAAAAAAACAGCCAGCTCCTGTCAACTTATTTACTTATAAGGGAGAATGCTTGGAAAGGTTGTGTTGGTTGAAACCACTGAGGAGCCCCACCCTGGGGATTGCATGTTTTCACTCTGTTCTTAGTCCCAGGAGCCACAGGTAATCGAGAATGTTTGTGAACTCTATCCACATCCAAAAAAAAAAAAAACAAATAACCTGTTAAAAACAAAGAAAGCATAGAATAGAAATGAATTAAAAAAAAAAAAAAGTGGGAGGTTATTTTGTTGCCATGGTGCAATTTCCTTTTGGAATCAGTTTTGAGAAATGGGCTAGAATTTTTAAAAGTTATTATTTTTGGACTGTCTTTGTATTACACTGTGCTCAGCCCTTTAGGGATGCCAAGAAATATCTTTATTTTACAGGTAAGGAAGTGAAAAAAAAAAAAAAAATCACATGGCCAAGTTTCCTCAGTTAGTGAGTGCTGGCTTAGGACTAAAAAAAAAAAAAAAGTCCAAAGTCCTTGCACCTAAACATCATCAAGTTTTATTTTGAGGAAGTGTGAGCCAAAGGGAGAGAGCACTCTAGTTCCTTTTTGCTTTCAACACCAAACTTTTAAAAAAAAAAAAAACAGGCACCTACTGTAGTGTCCGGGACTACGTGTGCATGCACACATAAAAAAAAAAAAAAACACACCATTCCTACACGCTTCATGCTCCTTTTCACACTCCACACACAAAAAAAAAAAAAACTCACCGCCCTCACATCCTCCACCACTGCTCCCATCCCTCCCTGTCAAAAAAAAAAAAAACCTTTTGACACATAGGCATCAACTACATAGTGCAAAATGGGAATAAAAAAAAAAAAAAAATTTTATAACCTTCCCCCAGCCCCCATGAAACCATATGAGTGTTGGACAAACCATAGCTTCTGAATCTAGTACTTGATTCTACTGACTTGATGACTCCAGCACTCGTAAAAAAAAAAAAAAGGCTCATACATTTTCATTATACACTAATAACTTGCCTTTTAACAGGAAAAAAAAAAAAAAGAAAATCGGCAGAAACCTTTAAGATAGGTCATCCACATTAGCTAGAAAAAAAAAAAAAAAAGTTACGCCATTTAGACACTTAACTGATAGCCCTTACATCTTCAGAAAAAAAAAAAAAAATCAACCCACGAGGCCCTGCTTATACAAGGGCAAAAGTCTCTTTTTAGCCTTGTTCCAGAAGTCTAGAGCTGTTCCTTGTTTTGGTTTCAGTGATTAGCCTTAAAAAAAAAAAAAAAAAAAGGCAATGTACATCAAATTGTAAACTAGTGGTTCTTGCTGGAGGTAAAAAAAAAAAAAAAAATTTAGAACCTCTTTTTTTGAAATGAGCAACCTGGTTGCATCCTTGAAAAAAAAAAAAAAGGGTATGAGAGCTGTATCAGAATATTTGAGGCTGTGGGAGATGCAGAAAAAAAAAAAAAAAGAAATTCAAATTATTCCACTCCCTCCAGTACAAAGCTTCATTAATAAAAAAAAAAAAAAATAGATCACTTACTGCGTTAGTTACTAAAGGCTGACTAAAGAAGGCAAAAAAAAAAAAAAGTATATTTTGGGGCCAAGGGTCTGGAGAATTATCAAGAAATGGTCAAAAAAAAAAAAAAACGAGGATGCCAAGGCTAATATTCAAAACACAGTCATATGCACCTCTAAAAAAAAAAAAAAGATTTTGTTTGTTTGTTTGTTTTTGTCTGTTTGGTTTCTGGGGGAGAAAAAAAAAAAAAAACGGTGAGGCCAGAAGGGGGAAAGAGTAGACAACCTCCCTTGTAGAGAGAAGTGTCCATTCTCCTTGTAATGCAGCTCCAGGGCTCACAGTCATCACCATCGATATAAAAAAAAAAAAAAATAATCCCAATCAGGTGGTTTTCCTGTTTTAACAACAGGAATGGTTTGGCATGGCCATAGTGCTGAAGCAGGGTTTGAAGTCCCCAGTCATCACAGACATTGCGCCAAAAAAAAAAAAAATAGATGTAATACCAGTGATCCTGGTGCTATTTTAGTGAGTTCAGGCAAAAAAAAAAAAAACCCATAAATTGGGTAGCTTATAAACTGTCAATTGAAATTTATTTCTAAAAAAAAAAAAAACTGGGAAGTCCAAGAATAAAGGTGCAAGCAGATTTGGTGTCCGGTGAGAGACCACTTCATAGACGGGGCCCTCTCCCTGTGTCCTCACTTGGTGGAAGGGGTGAGGGATCTCTCTGTCTCTATGTTATAAAGTCACTAATCCCAATCAGGACAACTCTGCCCTCATGACCTAATCACCTTCCAAAGGCCTTACTTCTTAATATCATCACATTGGGGGTTAGGATTTAAAAAAAAAAAAAATGGGGTGACACAGATGTTCAGACCATAGCAGATGCTTGCAGGTGGAAAAAAAAAAAAAAAAAATGCTCATTCCAAGAGCTTCTGAGCTGCCAGAGGACAATGGAAAGGCACTGAGAGATTGAAGAATGGGGGAGATGCTGCAAAGGAAGTCTGGACTGGGGGAAGTGAAACCTGGAGAAGACTTTGAAGGTCATCTACTCCAGTGGTTTCTAACCATTATTTTCAAAAAAAAAAAAAAAATTAAAATAACCATTATTTTAAAATTAAATAAATATTATTAAATTTAAAAAAAAAAAAAAATGAAATATTCTTTAAATAAAAATTTAAAGTGAAACCCAATAGTTATAAAAAAAAAAAAAATGTTTTGGTCAACGAAAAACCACAGAAACAATAGCGGTCCCATAAGATTATAATACTGTAATTTTACTGTACCTTTTCTATGTTTAGATACACAAATACTATTGTGTTACAGCCACATACAGTAACATGCTGTACAGGTTTGTACCCAGGAGCAATAGGCTATGCCATCTAGCCTGGGTGTGTAATAGGCAATACCATCTAGGTTTATGTAAGTACATTCTGTGATAAAAAAAAAAAAAATTGCCTAATGATGTATTTTTCAGATTGTAACCTGGTCATAAAGGGAAAAAAAAAAAAAAATACAACTGACAAAAAGGGAGCTCCTCTGGTTGCAGTAGTGAAGGAGAAAAAAAAAAAAAATCTGCTGACCTCTTTCTTCCCCCTACTCCCAATTCCCCTTCACAGTAAAAAAAAAAAAAAACTTCTTGGAATCGTTGCATGTAACAGACTAGGAAACAGAGACTCAAAAAAAAAAAAAAACCTGTCTAAGGTGACAGAACCAAGATATGACAGAGTTTTGACCAGTAAAAAAAAAAAAAATAAAGCAATGGAATGGTGGGGAAGACAATTGTTTCCTACTTCACATAAAAAAAAAAAAAAATCCAATTTCTAGTGGTTGTTGGCATCACACACACACAGTTCACTAAAAAAAAAAAAAAATTCCCTACTTGGAGGAGGGATCCCCTGATAGGTGATCACTTTCCAGGTCCTAAGTGGGAAATGAGAGAGTGAGGGCCAAGATCCCCTTTCGGCTCTGCTCTTGCAGTTAGCTTTACTTACCTAATGTAGTCTTTGCTCTTTCTCTCCTTCCATCCCTCTCTTAACCAAAAAAAAAAAAAATTCCCTGACACTAGAATAGACAAACTTTCACCTCTTTCAAGTCTAGAAAAAAAAAAAAAAAAGGGGAAAATAAAGTACTTTATACAGTCCTTTGTAATGGCAATTGCCTGGCTTGGAATGTTATTGTCTTGCTATAAAATCCTGTTTTTTGAATGTCAGATGAACCAAAAAAAAAAAAAAGAGCATCCTAATTATGCCTTACTCCCAATTCCATAAAAAATAAATAAAAAAAAAAAAAAATACTCAGAAAGCAGAAAAGAAATTTTAAATAATTTTAAGATATTTTCCATTCCTAAAAATACTTAACTGTATTATTTTCATTTTTGGGACATAAGCAAGGTAGCCATTATCTTTTGAGCCATATTCATTTTTTTCCTCAAATGAGGTACAGAAATGGCCTATGTGTAAAAAAAAAAAAAAGATTGGGTGGATATAGAGATGATATTGATTCTATTTACAAAATTGACCTCTCTCTGTGGCAGGTTTCTTAGAACTCTGTTGCTTATTCACATGGGATTTTTTTTTCAAAAAAAAAAAAAATATTTAATATCTAACATAGAATTCAGAGATGAAAGTTGGTTCTCTGAAAAAAAAAAAAAACAGAGAAGACCCCAGGCAGAGACACAGGAATCTTTTGGTATTTTTGAAAAAAAAAAAAAATCTGAGAGTGGAAGCAAGATGGCCCATATCTTGCCAATCCATCCCCAAAAAAAAAAAAAATTGAAAAAATAAAGGGGGTGTAGATTTTTTTTTTCAGAATACAATAAAAAAAAAAAAAA